AAACAATTATACTATAGAATTTATAATAGAATTTAGTGCCGTAGAAATACCGAAATTAAATTGTATTTTCATTGGTTTATACAGAGCAGACCGACACATTAATACATTTTTTGAACAGCTAGAGAAAGTGTTACATAAATTAAACACTAAATACAAAAATAAATATATTATATTGGGAGGTGACTTCAATATAAACATTTTGAACAAAAATAAACAGACGGAGAATCTTATCAACTTAATGTTTTCAAACAATCTCAAACAGATTATCAGAGAACCAACACGTGTATCAAAAGGCTCCTCAACCTGCATCGATCTACTCTTCACTAACCACATGCCCATTATTAATAAAGCCAGCGTCCAAGATTATGGTCTCTCTGATCATAAGGGTATTACACTAAAAATAAAATCGAAACACTCTTATCCTAATAATAACACAACCTGGTACTTACAGAAAAGACTATTCACAGAAAGGAACATATTACATTTTAACACTTCATTAAATGACATAAAATGGCACGAAATAATCAACACACACAACAATTTAAACACCAATTACGATTTATTTCTCAATATATTGACTAAATTACTTAATACACACATACCGATAAAAAAGCTGAAAATAAATAATAAACCAAAAAAAGAATGGCTCACTACCGGCCTTAGGAAATCATGTGCACACAAAAGAAAATTAAGGGCCTTTCTGAATGTGAATGATAATGATATTATACATAAATTTTATAAAAAGTATAGCCAAACCCTAAAGCGTAGTGTAAACATATCAAAAAAACTTGATTTTTGTAAACAAATGGAAAACTCCGATAATAAAACAAAAACAATGTGGAATATCATAAATCAAAAAACAGGTAAACAAAAAAAAAAGACTCCCTCCACAAAATATATCATTAAAAATTAACAACCACATTGTAACATGTCCAACAACTATTTGCAACAATTTCAGTGAGTATTTTGCTACTGTGGGTATGGGCACGAATAACAATAAAACCAACAAAAACAGTGCGCTGGGTCGACCCGTCATAAACTCACAAATGTGCTCCATGTACTTGCGTCCTGTAGATAGAAAAGAAATAATCGACATAATACGCTCAATTAAAAATACACACAGCTGTGGCATAGATGAAATCCCCCCAATTCTATTGAAACAGTGTGCAGAAAAACTGTCAATACCGCTCACATTTTTAGTTAATCAAAGCCTTCAAGATGGCCAATTTCCAGACCCCCTAAAGATATCAATAATCAAACCGATACACAAAAAAGGCGACACCTACACACCTAGTCATTATAGGCCTATTGCTCTGTTACCCACATTTTCGAAAGTATTTGAAAAAACAATGTGTAACAGATTATACGATTTTTTAGAAAAATATAACATTCTCGATGATAGTCAAAATGGATTTAGAAAATCAAGATCAACTACACTAGCAGTATATAAGTATATCCAGACTACCATAAAACATATAAATGACAAAAAACATGTACTCGGAGTATTACTTGACATGACGAAAGCCTATGACAAAGTACTGTACGACATTCTTTTGAATAAACTAAGCGGTTCTGGTATTCGCGGCCCAGCTTACACATGGTTTCGATCATATTTAGAAAATAGATCACAAATGGTCCAAATTGACCATTTCGACCCCAATACGAATGAGGTTAAAATAGTCCGGTCTGAAAAAAGGAACATAAAGTGTTCAATCCCGCAGGGCAGCGTGTTGGGTTGTGTGCTATTTCTGATATACATCAACGACTTACCAAAAGTACTAAACAAGGAACATACATTACCTGTCCTATTTGCTGATGATATATCAATACTAATTACTTATGACAAAACCACAAAGCCGACACCACTACTTCAGGAAACTCTAGATACAGTAAATAACTGGCTCAACGACCATAACTTAGAAATTAACTATAACAAAACAAAAACTATCCAATTTAGAACATACAGAAACACCCCCGTAAACATCGACACAACATACAATGGCACACAACTAGAAACTGTAGATACATTCAAATTACTTGGTATAACTATAGACACACACATCAACTGGAAAGCACACATCGAACATACAAAAAATAAACTGTCTCGATTTACATATGCTCTATTCCAACTTAAATGCAGCACAAACGAAAAAACCGCACTGTCAGCATACTACGCATACGCATACTCCTGGTTACGATACGGCATTATGTTGTGGGGAAACAGTGTACACTTTCAGGATTTATTTATATTACAAAAGAAATGTATTAGAATTATCGGACAAATTGGAAATCGTGATAGTTGTAGGCCCTTCTTCATTAAATATAACATCCTCACACTACCATCATTATACATATTTGACATCTGCATATTTGTATCCAAGAACATGAGTCACTTCGCGAGAGTAAAAGACAATCACAATTTAAACACACGCCACAGAGACAGACTATACCTACCACCATCAAGAATTAAAATGCTACACCAGAGCCCTTACTACATGGCTGTAAAAATATACAACAAATTACCTATCCACATAAAAAATGAAACGAAGACTACACTATTCATTAAAAAACTAAAAGCATTCTTAATTACAAAATGTTTCTATTCTGTTAAAGAATACATTGAGGAAAAAAACACTTAACAAACTACATTTCTTATTACACGGAAAACAGAAAGCATATACCTAAGTACAAATCATAAAAAGAAAAATCGGTCGTGATGCTCGGAAATGCTAGGGACAGTAGGAAAATGTGTATATGTATTAGTGATGTAGAATGTCGGGTGCCTTCGTATTTTTGCATGCTTTATTTGATTGTTATACTGTACTATTAAGTCACTTAATTTGTATTGTTCAAAAAATGCTTGTACTTATGTAACAATTTATTCTTCTGCGTTCTCTCTCAAATTTTTGCAATGCCTGAAGAAGGCTTCTGAGTTGGGACTACTACATATAATATTATAAGATCATTGATGTACACTTGGTTGGCAAATAAAGATTTGATTTGATTTGATTTGATTTGATTACATATATATAATGAGCACGTACGTAGGTCACAACTAAGAAAGTATGAAATTTAGTATCGAAATCTTAATACTAACAAGAGGTTTTGTCGAAATACAAAAATTATTGCAATTATATACATTTAAAAAAGCTGATTCAAATACAATAATGAGACAATAAAATAAAAATTATTGTTTTTTTATATAAACGTGAATGTAAACAACCAAAGTTCTTTTAATGGCAAAAAGTACACGAGAATTAAAAAATGCGATAAGATATTAGTACATTAGTTTTAAATATCCTATCATATCAATAACGAAACAGTATTTCGAAAATGGAACGACTAAAATTTACCCGGATTTCACTTTACCTTACCTTGCTAAGAAATGTCTTGTACGAGAGCACACTGATATACAATTTAAACTCATTCTGTACATGTTTGTTACAATGTGTGTAACAGCTGACAATGCTATTAAACGACGACTTAATAGCTTGGGCAGATTTGGCAAAATTTTCATGTTTGCTTTTATTATAATTGTGTTCAGTTTATCTGTGGGATTATACGCAAGGATTACGCCCCACCCGCGCCGGCGGACCGCTCAAATTGAATTGTAATATGCTACCGTTATTAATAACAGCGAACGGAGACAAACAGGGATGTTACTTTAAAATAAATTATTAGTAAAATTAATATATAAATAATTAGAGAAGCCTAGATGTATAAAATAAATCTATATTCTAAAAATAAAAGCAATAGATACCTACATGCTTTCTCCATGGTTACGAAACAAAGACTCTAGTGACTTATAAAAAGAAAAAAATGGCGTACTTTAATAAAGGTAAATATATCACCATATAATCAGATTTTAAGCTATGAAAAAAATATTTTTCTTGGTGTTTTGTTGAGACCAGAGGCTGTCATTTATTACGTAACCCTAAAAAAGGGATACCCTGAGTAATTATACTTATGTGGCTTCATTGTTTTAGAATTTTTTCTATTCTGATAGCTAATAATATTATGTAGCTTTTTATTTTAAGCAAACATTTAAATGAATTTAAAATAAATTCAAATAACGACGTATTTCACGAATGTTAAAATATAATATGCAAAAAGATTTTTCGGTTTTTTTTTTCAAAAGCGACAAATGGACTCTAATTGAAATTAAATGGACACCAATTTAGAGGCAAATTTAGGACTCCAACTTGGTGTCCTACTTGCGTAATTTGAAATTTAGAAACCAACATTTGTTAAAAATAAAGTTTTGTGAGTAAATGAAGTGAATAATTATCTAACATTAAAAAACATCTAGATATATATAGTGCAGTTATTTCCCGGTTTTTAAATTGTTGAGGAATTGAATTCATACTTGTCGCACATAGACAATAACAGTGTTTGCTATTCAAGTTTAGAGCAGCGTAGTCAATAGTACTAGGCTTCTTTTCATTTAGAATGTGATTATTTTTATTAGGTGAGTTCTAATTTAACTTAAATTTAATTAATACCTGTTTTTTCATCGAAACAGATTCATTATAAATCAAATGATTATAATCCGTTCGACAACCAAACTTTTACTTTCTATATACCCTTAACAAACTATTGACACAGTCACACAGCACGTTATTAAATACCAAAAAACCCGAGAACAACCCTATCGCTTACAATCGCCCGTCTCCACCGGAGCGCAGCATTTTTTCCCGCAAATTTTAACCGTCTCCCTCTGAATTCCGCGAATCAGCCGTATTTGTACAATAACTGCCCACCCGGGATCGTTTCTGGCACAATAGCCTCTTTGTTTAACGACGTCTTTCTATTCCAACAGGGCGCGTGCCTAGTTTTTTCAATGGGTCTATTCGGCCCACGTTTGTGAATGTTACGTATGTTGTTATACGCGCTCGGTTTAGGGTTGAATTGTCGCATTGTAATATAATTGTTGGCAATCGTGTTTAGATTTATACGATGGTAACATTTATGTAGTTAATTTTATAAAATATAATTGGATTATGTCGTATCTACAAAAGTGAGTACAGTGAGGCTGTCTATTGGTCAGTTGGGCTCCGGTTCTGTGTCCGGTAATGTCAGAGTTATCTTTTGAAATTTGTTAGAACTCAACATTTGCACTAAAGGTAAGGTTTACTAAGGGTACTACTAAGGGTTACCAAACAGCGATGTCAATTGGATCGGCTCAAACTTAAGGTTCCCCTCGAACTTACCCAAGTTATCAGTGCTAGTAGCATACACGATAGGGGAGGACCGGGTGTCTTTTATACTTCGATAGCAGAAAGCTTCGCTTAATATTAAGTACATAAGTAAGTAATTATCGACTTATTACAGAATAAACAATATCCCCTACTGCATAGAGCTATTCATTACGAAGAACAGATTTTTGGGTTCTTTCTGTAAATAAGAAAGAAAGAAAGAAAAACATTCCTCATAAAAAATCCTCCTCTTCCTCTTCAACAGCCTTGAATAGTCCGCTGCTGGACATAGGCCTCTCCTTTATCCTCATGAAGGTAAAACTAGCAGTTCCATTTGTAGAATAGAAATAAACTTTATTATTAATTAAACTATTTGAGAGTGACTCATTTAAGGACAGCCTTTCATAATCCTAAAAAACTTTATCTCTACAAAAACTAAGACAATGCTTGTGCAGTCTCTTATCTTTCCGCTAATCGACTATGGTGACGAGTGCTATTACGACCTGGGCCTCAATTCTGCTATTTTATATTCACGCCAAGCCACAATAGCGTGGTCAGTGGTATGACAGTGGCTTGGAGTGAACATAAAATAGCAGAATTGAGGCCCTGAACGCAGATCTTCTCAACAAATTATATCGTCTTCTCAATAACTAGATTCGATTTATCTTTAATCTTCGTAAGTATGACCATGTCTCTAGTTTTCGCTCCCAGCTAAGGTGGTTACCAATTCGTCAACGTAGAAAAATGCTCGCACTCACAACTCTGCATACTATCCTCAGTTCACCATCCCTCCCACTTATTTAACACAACAAATTCAACTCTTATGCAATAACCATGACATAAACCTTCGTTCTTCTAACAATCTCCTTCTACTTTGTCCTTCTCACACTACCCAGTAGTGTTTGCAGGCTCTTCGTTCTCTGTTCAGTCTCGTCTTCGTCCTCTTGTGGAATGCGCTTCGAGTCGAAATCAGAAGGCTACAAAATCGCAACTTCATCAAGATGAAGGCAAAGGAGCGGTTGCTGAGTGAATTGACAGAATCAACTCTTAATTCATCACCCACAACTATAATATTTTTTATAAATGTAACTATATATGTGTATGTGTATATATGTGTGTATACATAAATGTATCATCGCTACAAACCTATTGCATTGTGCATCGTAATTGCGGGTTTTTTGTGCATATTGATTATAAACAAAATATGCTAATGCATAAGTATTTTAATATTATTATGCTGCGTAAATTGTATTGTTTATATTAAATGTTTTATTTACAGTACGTATTTCGTAATAGTACGTAGTACGTACTATTATTACGGGCAAACTCATTATAATAAGGTTTTTCAAGCTTTGACAACTGGCAGCATTGATTTAATTACATATTTAATATTCGATGACTGCCCGCTTCTAGAAAGTAGAGTAGCGTCAGTCGGTCAGTTGGTGCAAGACTTTGTGTGGTATTGCAACGAGTCCCGCTGATTTTATTTTGAAAGTAACAATATTAGTTTTGTTGTGGAGTGTGTATGTGTATGTGTGAAACTAGGTTTCTTACTTGTATTTTAATTATATTGATTTATCGATATTAACATTCACACAGCCGCGGAGTATACTGACATGGTCCTAATTTACGGGGAATGCCATCAAAACGCTTTTTTAGCTGTACGGACATACCGTTAAACACAGCCTATCCTACAGACAGCCGAATTTCTGTTGTGGCTGCCAGGGAGCGTCTTAATCACATGTATTCGATGCATTGATGTGAACGGTAGACACATTTTAAACCTAAAAATGTAAATTAGATTTACATTAACTTGATTACTATTGTATGTATGATGTACTAAACTGGTGTACAATAAAGTTTATTCTATTCTATTAAATAAATTTTTAAGTAAATATTGATCTAGTGAATAAAAACTGTTGCAAGTGGTATTCATATTTTAATAAATTGATATAGATTATTTTATTGTATATATTTTGTGCTAAATTTGCATTTCTGTATTTTGTAAAAAAAAAAAAAAATTATATATATATATGTGTGTGTGTATATGTGTATGTATGTAAATGCGTTGATTCGAGAATACCATTTATCCCCATAAGTGCACCTACCTCATTCTTTCTCTGCATCACCCAATCGGCAGAGAATGCCTTAGGCATTAAGTCCGCCGATGTATATATTTGTGCATGAAGTCATAAATAAATAAATAAGTTACTAACTGTTATCGTTGTAAAAAGTAGCCTGGTCTTTCCTCAAAAATCTGTTCAGCGGACCAAACAGAACGCACACTCAATATTTTTTACCGGGTGTTACAAAAGTACGGTAATAGCAGAATAATTAGCTAGGGATGCATTTTTCGAAAATACGTTAAACAAAAAAGTTACAGGTGGCTATCTATAAGTGACCTTGAAATTGACCTTGATCGCAACCTTGAAGGTTTTCTCAAGGGTCAAGGCCAATTTTTAAATGGGATTGCATATTTTTAAGTCCGGAATTAAAAGAGACGAAAAAATTTACAATTGGGTGTGACCTCTAAAGGTCACCAATCCAAGGTCAGGTGTAGTTGTGTTGATGAGAAATGAGAAACAAAACTGACGAAAAAATTGATAAAAACAACCTTTGAAGGGGATTGTCGTGACAAAATTTGAGCTCAATCGGTGCAGTACTTTTTGGGTTTTCGAAGCGTACACAAAACAACTTAATATTTTAATATATCGAAAAAGATATTTAAAAATTAATGTCAAGTGTAGAGTTTTATTTAATTTCTAATACACAAAGTTGTATAACATAAAAGGTTGCTACCAAGAGAACATAACTATTTGTGAGTATAACGAAACACATTCATTTGTCACAATTACCGTTGGCGCGGAATAACTAGCGTATAGCGATGGCTATAAGCGCTTGTTAGCTGAACATCTAGCCGCTCATACATTTTTATGAGCCTTTTATTTTTATCCACCCATGTTTTGAAGGTTCGACGGATGAGGGAGAGAGTTTTGTGTCCTCAGTTGAATTATAAATAGCTTGGCTGCAAGAATTACTTTTTATATTAACAATATTTTTTTTGGATGCAAGCCAATCAAATAATAATAATAACTTTATTGAACTTCAATTTAGGCATAAATTTTATATCTATAATAATTAAAAAGTAGAACCATCATATCGCCGAAAGTTCATAGTCAGAATCGTCTTTGAGCATAAATTTCATATCGATAGTCATTAAAAGGCAGAACTATGATATCCCAGGAAGTTTACAGTGAGAATCATCTTTTACTATACATTTCATATCTATAATAATTGAATACCTATCCAGCAAGTATGCAGAGAGATATGCTGCATGCAAGCAAGAATGCAGCATATCTGTCAAGCCTCCGGCGCTGCGGGGCTCCGGCGGTCCCACGCGAGCTTATCGTCGCAGATGAATTCAACGCTTACCACCGCAGCTTCGGCTTGCTGGCCGGCTTTGCCGAAACCACCTCCTCCTCAGCTCGCGGGCCAACTAGCCCCTCCGCACCTACGCGGCTTAAATTACACGTTAGAGGTGGGGGGCAGACGAGACTACGCGGAATCGGTTTTGCAGGGATTCGTTTCTGTCACAAGGTTAAAAATACTAGTTTAATATGCCCAATAAAATTATTCCAAATGAAATTTTACCAAATAATCGTCGCTCTAAATAAACGTTATGCTAAACGAAATTATGCGGCATTTTAATCTCGATCTTAAAAGAATGCCATTGTGAATTCCGACATATTAACATTCGGCCAAACAATAATTATACGGTGTGTTCAAGATTCTGCCAGATAGTTCCGTCTATTATGCTCATAATATCCGGTGCCCATTTTGGCACTCAGAGCATTGATATAATATCAATGGCTCTGAGCCTCAATCTAAACTGAAAACGGTTTGTCAAAATAAAGTAATTTTCTTGCAAGTCCAGAAGAAAAGATACGTTTCTGTACAAAGTCATGTTTATCACAAGCAAAAATCCAATTTTAGGCGGAGGAAGAGCCCCCATTGTGATAATCATTTCGAAAGGCCTATGTTTAGCAATAGACCTAACAAGAAAAAGAAAACCATAAAACCATTGCACGCCACTTAAATTGATTTTGGGCTTCTCGCATCCATCTTCTGCCAGCCATCTCGCGCAAATCATCACTCCACCTGGCCTGTGAAAATAAAAAGATACTCTTTATTATACATAAAAAATATTAAATAATCTAGAAAAATAAAATAGGGAACCACGGTGTTATCGTATTCATCTGTGATCTCTGTCAAGTGGAGGCTATGTTACGACGCCACATCTTTTGTTTCGATACTAAAAATAACTCCGATTAATATTTTTTTTATTTTTTATTTAAGCAACAATAAATGCAAAACAAATTCCTGTGAAGATCTAACTTCAAGCTTTTTATAAAGTTGAAACTCAAAATATGAACGCCATCTGTTACCACATTGCAGTACTATAGATACTTGTTTTATGTTTAATATCGTTTCATATCATTCCACTCTTCGTCGCGGTGTGGCGCTAACGAGGCGAGTTGATAAAGTTGACGTCACACAGTACTGACAGTACATTCTTGTTATATAATACGGGATTTATCATACCATAGATATCCGTTAAGTCGATTATTAACAAACATACTAAATATTTTTATCATAATACAATTTAAATAATATTAAAACAAATATCTCTTTTTCATAGAAGAATATGTTATTTAATATACATTTTCAGAGTTAGATTTACAGTAGATTACGAATATTAATTGAAAACAGAGTCTAAAATTTTAATAACAATTTAAATTAGCTTTTTTTATAATATACTGTACTTAATTCAAACACCCGAACATTATTTATCGTAGGTTTTCAATTTTGGACCAAAGCAAATTACTACTCTTTTCATAGTCGAGTTATCGACTATATTGTTGTTGTACTATGAGTCCCTCACTCGATCATGAAGTAGTGAATTAATAAAAATGAAAACGTAGATACTTGCCTACAGTGCTTAGTCTAAAGTGTATGTCGTTGTAGATTATCAATTTTATTTCTGTGTCCTTTGTGTATTACCTCAGTCTGTAATTAATACGGTTATTTTATTATTTCAAGCACTAAACAGTTGTAAGTATATCTTACATGAATCATTTTTCATGCATGTTGAACCAAACAAAAACTTTAAAATGCATTAATCTATTATGTTAAAATATCTATAAAGTATAATATGTGTGTACTACCTATATTTTGATCATGCTAAATAATTACTCTGGCGCTATTCGAACTCCTTTTACACTTATGTTTTAATTAAAACTATATTTTACGTCTATAAAACAGTTGGATTAGTGTCCTTTGTTTGTTTATTAACATTTGTTATCAGCAAGTGTCCTTTAAGTTGTTAGTACACGTATTGATTCAACGTAGGTAGATACAAGTAATTTTAAAAGATTTTGTTGATTACTAAAATATATTTCAAACAAAGGAGTAGGTAGATGGGTAGGTACTATAGACAAAAATGTAGTTTTAATTCTGGACTTCTATCCATGAGTTTTTGTTTCTTGTTGTAGATGTTGTTAGTAGGTATATATTTTGCTAATTAAACTGTTTATCTTAATAAGTTGACTATTTTATTTTCAAGATACCTACTGGAGTATGTTTGTACATGTTTATTTATTTTTTTATTTACTTTAATTATAACGTTTTTTCCGATTACAAAAATTTAAGACATATAAATCAACACAAAAAAATAAAAATAAAAAAAAAACTTCCGTCCTGCTCACAGAATCGTATACTAACATAATGTTAGTATACGATTATACTTATTATACGATATGTAAATACATCATACATCCGCAAACAAATCACTTTCGGGAATCGGGATTGGCAGGCAGGAGAGCGTTGAGTTCAGAAAGAGGGCGCTGTATGGGTATATTTCTATGACTGTTGTACACTGAATTATATTATTATATCGGTTGTATTATTCTTGTGACTGAATTTCATACCTAATCGTAGTGGAGTTTGATTGCAATAATTGGTGGGCAACTTCTATAATCTACGACTGACAGTCAAAATAGTTTGAGAACTGAAGGGTGGTATGCGTAGCAGTCTCGACATCGACTAAAGTATTTTAATTTAAAATAGTTAGTGTGGAAAATAAAAATGTTATTTTGATGAATGTTTTTATCGCATTTTCTTTTGTTTAGGTTCGTATTCTCATTGCAAATGGAGGCTTTTGGGTTTACACAAGCGGAGCGGAACGCTGCTAATACTGTATTCAATGGGTCTGTTTTTTACACTGTATACAAAGATGCGGATTTTCTCCGTATTGACGCCAATATTGAAAATCTCTTGACTCGAGGGTACGAGGTGAGACAGAAAATGAAAACAATACCCGTTGGCGATTCACTCGTAATTCAAGGGATGAAACTTGAAAGGAAGTACGTATTTTAAATCTTTTTAATTGTTTTCAAAGTTAAAAAATTTCAATATTAAATAGTTCAACTTATATTGGTTTAAGTTATCACCTCTGTCGAGCGTCCCGAGACGCACACGTTTTATTTTTATTTTTTGATTGTGTTACTCAATAACTAAGACTTACTCGAGTGTTTTTAGCAATAGTTCAAGAAAATCTATTTACTAAGAAAATCTATTTTTTGTAATCGTTAAAGGAGTTTTTGTGTCGGGAGATATTCTATATAATTAGATTATTTAATTCATGCTTGTTTAAAACAATTATAATTTCAGCACTCCATTAATAATTAAAAGAGGCGGTCGCGGTGTTACGGTTGAAGACTTTGAATTCACTTACAATCGCCTTCAAGGTTTGGTAGCAGCTTTTGCTTATGAAAATCGACATAGATTCCCGGTTCTAGAGGCGAGCGAGCCAAAATCCCTAGGACTTGTGTGGGACAATGAAAACGAAGAGAAATGTAAACTTTATCTGTCTGCCATAAGTGGAACTGATAGCATGATCGACCAATTCTCCTTCTTTCCGTTTATATGTGGATTGAGGAAGTTTCAGCTGAAGAAAATACCCCTTGAACTGGTCGTCGGTATGGGGTACGTCAAAAATAATGAAGGATTGACGATGGCCCGACTGTTGAATAAGAACTTGGTGATGGCGAAACGTATATGGCTAATGTTTCCGGGTAGCTCACTTCGGGAGATGGAAACTCTTGTCAATACAACTCCTCACATTAAGAAACTGTTCCAGGTCTGATTAAATACGATTTTTGTTGTATTGGATTCTATTTGACGGGCAGCTATTCAATGTATAATAATAGTCTGCTACTTTTTACATTTATTGTTTATAATATTATATGATTATGTCATATAAATTACAATCATAATTATGATGAATATTGTACAGATATGCTTATTGTAACATGTCATTGTGTTTATACTATTTCTTAATAAAGGACTTCTAACAAAGAACGTGTTGGTATTTAGTTTTCCTGCAACATAGGAACCTGACGATACTTACTTTGTATATAATTTGTAACAGAGCGGTTATCTTAACGTTTTATTTATATATATACATGTATATCCACTTATACTATTACGTTTATACACAAGAGCGACTCGAATCGTCGATAGCCCAAACATCTCCGATCGGCTCGATCCCTTGGCGTTACGTAGAGATGTGGCTTCACTCTGCATTCTTTATCGCATATATCATGGAGAATGCTCCGAGGAATTGTTCGGACTAATACCAGCCGCAAATTACAAGCTCAGCCAATTACAGCCGTACTCCTTTCTAAAAGGCCGGCAACGCGTTTGTGACTCCTGAGTTGCAGACGTTCATGGGCGGCGATAGTCACTTTCCATCAGGTGACCCGTCTGCTAGTCTGCCCCCTCTAACATAAAAAAAAAACTTGATGTATGATGTATGCCCAGGGCTTTCTCTACCAGCCAACCTTTGGATGGTGTAGAAATCTTGTAAGGTAGCTGCACAGAGGTTACAATTGTAATCACTGATTATAAATTTATTTTTATCAATAAATATATAAAACTAAACTTACATATATAATATAAATAAATAAATATACATATAAATACATATTTTTTATGTTCGTACATCGGGAAGCCTTGAATTTAAGGCGGTGTACTATCGGTAAGGTACTGCCGCCATCGCGTCGAGAAGGTACTTTTTTTATGGTGTAAGAGGGCAAACGAGCAGACGGGTCACCTGATGGTAAGCAACTACCGCCGTCCATGGACACCTGCAACTTAAGTCACAAGTGCGTTGCCGCCCTTAGAGTCCCAGGGATTTGGGCTCCAGTAACCTCACTCAGTGAAAGGCAACGAAAGAATTGCTTAACACCGGTTTTTTGTGAGGCTGTGGTATCACTCCGGTACATTCTTTTAAAATGCGAAACAGTTTGTGGACATCCTCATTTTGAGTGGGATTTCGCATTCCAGGTCAGTACTACTTGCACAAAGAATGAGGAGTTCACGAAATGAGAGCTGTGGGAGGGACACAAGAGAAGCAAATTATTTGGTGATCGAACATTTCTATCGTGATTAGAGGACAAGAAACGGATGTAAGGATCAAGGTAGGTGGGTAAAAATGGAGAGTTAAGGAATGAAAAGAGAAAGGTCAACACTCGCTGGTTGCGGCGCAGGCGAATAGGTAACCATTCTAATTGGGAACCTAAAGATTGAATATGTATCGAATGCAGTCATTAAGAAGACGGTCTAGCTTATTAATGAAGTCTGCATTCAGGTCGTAGTAACACACATCACCATAGTCAATTATAGGAATAGTAAAGGACTGCATGCATATTACGATGTACATTCTTAAATAACAAACCAAGAATATTTTAAAGCATTTTATTAATTTCAAAAAATAACTAGCATATAATCACACAGTATTACTAAATTTATAATATACTATGAGGAAATACACACAATATAGCAAACGATCGATGCCGTTATTACAACATAATCAACATATATTTTATTATATTTCAGTACTAATAGTTTACTTTGTCGTTACCCAATCGGCTAATGAACATTACCAATTTATACGTATCTCCATTAATTTCTAATATGCCTACTTAGACTAATTTGTTTTTACACAAATAAACGCGTTAAGCGAACAATCACTGACAGAGTACAATAATAACATTTATATAAAAGGTCTAAGTGAACATAAGTGAATATGCTGATAGTACTAAAATAAGGGACTAGAGGGCGAAAATGAACCACACCAATTAATATTGAGCTCTAGTCCTCGCAGAGCCGTTTGCGGGCTCCGCGTCTAGCGAATACAATTACGTCAATTACACATCAACTATTAAACGCGAATATCACTTGGGAATCAACTCTCAACATTATGTTTAGACAAAGTTTTATTTGTGTGTGGCTTGCTAGCCTGCTGGGCCCGCCCACTGCCAAAAAGTCCTTTCTGGACTGATACAAATACCATACAGCTTTTTCGTTAACTCTTGAGCATAGGTTATAAATAGTTTTTGGCACTCAACGCCCTTTTGAACCAGCTGACTAGGTTCGGATTTCTATAATCATACTCAAAAGCCAATTTGCTATTTCACAATAACCAAATATATTAACAATTGTTTCTGCTCGTTATATTTCCCAGATCTATAGAACTACAAAAATAAAAGTGAATACACAAATCGAATCGTTGTCGATAAAGTCTAACCAAAATACAGTTATGCATTGATGCACGGTTACGACGAGGTGATAGATGGTTAACTTAAGTATGAATAATTCAGAAATCATTAATTAAATTTAGAATACAGTTTTACTTTATCTAAACATAATCACGAATCTTATAATGACGACAGACATACGAAAACTAAATTTAATTCTGTCACGAAACCAAATAAAAAAAATATTATGAATTGTGAAAAAGGATGGGACTACGATTAAAGGAAATTCTTCTCTCTAATTTAGCTCGTGAATAAAAACCTTCGTATGAGTGAGTGATACTTATATTTACTAAAGATATAAGGGTTTTACTCACGTTGCGGCTACAACAGGGGCTCTTTTTCAACGAGCCCCACCGTGACGTTGTTAAACGTCACAGTATAAAACTTGTCGGGCTTCTCCCAAATATACACAAGTGAGTGAAATCTTGAATAGGTAAACATATATGAAATTAACTTAAATGTGAGAACGAAAGTCACACATTTTTTATTTATAACAGTAAATAGCTAAATTAAATTTTAACAAAGTTTTCGTATGTCGGCCAGTAATGAAATATAAACCAAGGCTTTCGACGGCTGAGGGGAGATACAGAGCAATCTTCTTATAGAAAATGATCAGTAATCAATGTTCACCTGTTTAGATTTAATAATTGTTGTTTAATTTGGTTAACATTAATTTCTAAAGGTTCTATGGTATTACAGACAGGATTATTTCTGCTATTTAGTAGGCCATATTGCTGTTTACAAAATTATGTAACAAGACTGAAAAAAAAACCAGATAAAAGACTGTCACAGTACAAAATTATGTTATGCATATAAGACTGAAAAAAAAAACACATAAAATGAAAATGGTATTATCACTCCTAAATATTACTATTGATACAAACATAAGCATAGATGATCATTGTTTACTTGATGTCTGATTGCTTATTATAAGTATTATGCGACCACCGGTTGCGGTATTGATACTTTAAAGTTTATTTATTCAAACGACATTCAGCCGTCTCAAGCCTTGTACTAGATATGACAATTTGATAGTCGATTTTGAGCTTCAAACCCATTAAAAACAAAAATAATGACACTAATCATATTTGTGACGGCAAAACGTTACATTGTATAAAGTGACCACAGCAAACAGCTTAACAATTCCCTTGTACTAAGATACAAACGCCAGTTCGACAATTTACAGTTACAAATATATAAATTATATTAAAGACATCAATTTACTTATTCCAATGTATTTAATTATAACTATTTAAATCACGTACGGCACAGCACTGAAATTTAATTTCTAGATACCTTTATATACTACCAAAAAATAAGGACGTGTTACATTTACCATTTTTGACACATATAAAAATAATACCTTCTATATAATGTAAGATCGTTCGTGGTCAACACGTCTATAAAACAATATTGTACAATAATAGATTTAATATATAAACTATGTGAACGAATTACAAAGTATAATAATTTATAAAATAAAAATTTACATAAGTGAGCTTCATATAAATAACCAATACATACATTGATATAAATTCTGCTTTGAGCTAGAGCTACCAATTTAAAATACTGTGACACCTGTAGATGTAAGAATCGAAACCGGATTTACACTAAAACCGATGTCCTAACCTCCAAAGTTTACACTAACATGAAGATTAACGCTAGCGGTATTAATATTATATTACGTGACGGAATAATTTGTAACGTTAAATTGTTTTACAATTTCGGTACAAACTTAAGAACCAGCCTTGTATCATTTGTCGATTTCGTATGGCAGTCGACACAACGATATCAGATCCGGTGGTAATACAACGAATTAAAGGTTTAATAACGTAGCCTCAAAATGTTCCTAAAATATACACTGATCGTTTCTATCTAAACCGCTAAAATAACATTTTAAACAAAACTAAGTCTCAAAATCTATTAGTGCCTGTCACCTCTGACACAAGTCAGTGACGTGTCAAACGTCATCAATTCCAGTTGTGGGCTAATAAGTGGTATATAGACGGTTTTGAACCTTGGTGTTACATGTGAGACCAAATAACATTTGGTTTGGTATATTTTAACTACGATAATCTACCGACATAAGCGACTACGCGTCTACGAGTTAAGTTTCTGAGGTCGATATTGCTTAAGATACGAGTTTCCCAATCACAGCGCTGTTTGTGACGCACGAATAGTTCGATGTAGGAAATGCACGACTCTCTATTGTGAGACATGTGGTTTCAGAGAATAGTACTCGTATTGACAAACATCGTTCGCTTATAAGTTAAGTAGGTATATTTGATCGTGTGCCTATAAATGCACGATGAGATCTCTAAGCAACGTTTGTCAATACAAATGATTTGTGTGGTCAGATAAATGACACGTACGTGTTAGCGTCCCGATCGGTGGCCTCCGTACACGTGGTTGAGTGAGGGTCGCGCTCAGTGCGTGATGATGGTGGAGTGGAGGCAGTGCGGGACCACGTGTCGGTATGGCAGCCTGTAGTTCTTGACCGTCCGCGCCGCCAGGCACTTGAGCGTGGTGTACCGGAGCGGGTTGACGATGGCCGTGAGACTCTGCTGGGTGGATTTGAGTATTTCCTCGGGGGTCTCACCTTCGTAGTTGACCGTGTCGATGTGGGCGCCGTGCGCTAACAATTCACGAACTACTTCCGCGGGACACGGGTTTAACTGAAATAAAACAAAAATATTTTCATTAGGCTATTAGGGTTTAAAAAAAAAACACACTTCTCTATCTAGTCACATAAATAATTTTCTTTCATTTTCTTTTATTCTATAATTATTTTGAATAGGTTTGTGTCTAATCGAGTAGGTTGCACATTGGTACATTGCAAAGTTAAGCGATTCTAACCAAGTCAAGCACACCATATGGATGGGTGACTATTTTTAAAACATTGAGACCCCTTCGTGCCTTGGAGAGCACCCTTAAGCCGTCACTCTCGCTTGCTATACGAACATCTGCGGTAATCATTACGGGTGGTTAGAGCTTAAAAAGTCTTATAATAGTCTTTCTACAGAACTTCGATCTAGTACTTGGGTTGTGCAGGTTTGATAGCAGTTGCGCTTAAAAAATCGAAGTTTATCTACCAAGTATCCACCTATAGTTAAACCGCCGTAAGCTTGGCCCTCCTGATGGTTTGGGGGACGCGGGGCGGGGGTGCATTCAACCAATTAGCTAGTGCGTCGCTGTCCGCCGGCAGTGACTGACGTGAAAGCATGGCTGTACGTGTTATTTTTCTTAAGACTGCTACACACGGTATTATTTTGCAACATGGATAATCTGCCGACTCTGCGTCACAAAAAGATTTAAAAACTTGAAGTTCGGCTTACAGAGGTTCTACTGTTAAAGTTCTAATAAAGAATATTTATTATTTTATTTAATTTTTAAAATTGTATCTGAATATAATTTACATGATGAAGATAATGTGATTTTATTAAAATTATTATACAGTATTAAATTTTACAATTAATCATAAAAACTTACAATACACTGACATTATAATACATGGAAAAAAATTCGATTTTTATTACATCGTGTGTAGATTAAATCTCAAACAAATAAATCTGAAGATATCGAGTTAGTACATCGTGTCATGTATAGCCGAGCGCATCACCCGCCCCGCGTCCCGCAAACCATCAGGAGGGCCAAGCTTACGGCGGTTTAACTATAGTTTGAGGGAAAGGTTTAGAGGAAGAAGTTTTATTTTTTTCTAATCGTTTTTTAAAATAGTTCTCATTAATAATAGTGTGTTTTTTTACGTTTTATGCTTTGACTTTTTAAGTATGTAGGTACTAGGATATAGAAAGGTACAAGAAGTGGCAAACATTTAGTATGAAGAAAAGAAGAGTGAGCTATAATTACAATATGAGGTTGAGGCAAGGCTTCAAGTACCGTCCTCATTGAGTAATGAATTGGGACCCGTCCGCATATATCCGCCCGATATTTTATCGCGCGTTTCTTTTGTCGCAAAATTTTGTGGTAATAAATCGCAACCTTATAGCGTTCATTTTGTATTAGATTTTTTTGTATTGTATTTTCTTCTGCTAGAGCGGATAGTTGTGTATACTCGTAGATTCCATATGTCATAGAATTTTGTGAAAAAAAATATATTTAGATGATGAGAGATGTGTGTGTGACAGGTGTATAATTAGAGCAGATAACGATAACTATTATAGATTGTAGTCAGTTACAAGATGTCAGACTACATAGATATACTGGGTATACATATGTATGTGTAAATATATTTTTTCCGTATTACGAGTATATAATACTATAAATATGAAAAATATAAACAAACACATATACATCCATACATATGCTATTATTCCGATGACTCCGTCGACAAGTGTCCATAGACCGTACGCTAGGGGAGTTAGGCTGAGGTACCTTGCAGACGAGGTGCAGCGGCGTGTTCCCGTCGGCGTCGCGCGCGTCGGGCGGCGCGCCGAGGCGCAGCATGAGCGCCACGAGGTGCGCGGCGCAGGGCTGCGCGCCCCCCGCCGGCGGCAGCCACGCGCGCGCGCCCCGCCCGCGGCACCCCTCCGCCGAGCACGCCACGTGCAGCGCCGACCGGCCCTGCCGCACCTGCGACACGCGCACCGCACACCACACCGTCACTCACACCTCGTCGCTACTATATTTACAGGGTGTAAGGGGCGCCGTAACGACTTCTGGGTCGATAATCATTGAAAATTTTCTGCTGATAAATTAAAAGTTTAATGACATCAGCCGTCAAAGGTTGAGGTCATTCAGCGTAGGTATCGCACAAAAGTAATGACCATTTGTATTCCGTGCAAACAGTCTACGGACACTAACACAAAATTACGACCAGAGGAAAACCTCGCGCACTTTGGCTGTTCGATTAATTACATTTCAGTTGTTGACCGTATACTATATTTATTGAATTATTTTATGTTAAATTTTATGTTTCCCCATTATGATATCACTTTTAACCAAACACATTTTCCATCATAAAATTCTAATTATTTTCAACTCATAATGATGGTCTGTATACACTATTTCAGTATTCGTTACGACGTCCCTTACACCCTTTATATAAATATATTAGCAGTCTAATTATATTACCATAGTACAGACTCTGCCTAATTTAAAATTAGACAGCCGTATGTGAAATATATGTTACACGATAACCAAAATGCATCTGAATATTTAAGAACAAAATTAACTGCAAAAGGCAAGGATATACAAACACATTGCAGTAATACACACTTGGGAATTTTATTTAATGGAAAGTTACGTAAACGAATATGTTTACGTCTCTTTCACAAAACGCCTATCATGCAAAGTGTCTTTTGCACAAAATTATACTGGATCTATAACGATCTGTTTGAATATACGTAAAAAGTAAAAATACGAGTTTAACATTCAACAAGTTAAAGAAGTTTCCTACTAATTTGTGCCTTAAATTATATAATAGACAAAAACCAACTTCAAATACAAACACAAGTAGTACCAACCTTAATATCTAACTTAATAAGTGAGTACACAGCCTTATGAATCTTTCTGGAAACTTCTTCAGTACAATCCGGTTCCTCTAATAACCTGGCCATGAGAGCAGCAAGGTGCAGTGAAATGACTAAAACCCTCTGTAAGGTGCTCAACGTTTGTTCCCGATCAATGCTAAGCTTGGAGTCTAGGAGTTCCATGCCTCTGTCAATCTCGGACAATGCTTTTTTGAATACTGGTTCGATGTCTTCGAATGTTACTGGTGGGACTATACGACCTGTAAATAGGTAACATTTTTTTTGTTAAAATGTGCCTGGCTTCCTTTGTTTCGAAGTCTTGAAATAAAGGACGCAAGACACCTTTTAACTTAAGGTAATTTAGATATTTTATATGTTTCGTCAGAAGTTCCCTTCGTACTAATATTGGATATAAAATATGATGACCTTTTAGGTTTCTTACACATGAAGTGGTTTTTGGGTTTACATTTTAAACAATTGCAGAATGAAATCAAGAAAAGTGTCGCGCGCTTTACAGACATATATGAAACGGACACAAAAAACACCCAGACTTAGAACAATAATTTGTGTCACACAAAAAGTTGTCCCGTGTGGGGATCGAACCTACAACACAGCGCAGCAGGAAGCGGCGAAGTAACCGCTTAAACCACTACGCCATCCGTGCAGTCATTCTGTAATAGGTTAGTTAAATTTCTAAAGTTAACAGTTATTTCTTTCGCATGTAATGTGTAATACATTATCTGACATTTAAAATCGCACCCGCTTGACGGTAAAATTAAATAGAACGTGTTTCCTGGGCTTCCTGTTACACATTTCCGTCCCACCGTCACGAAATCATTCACACAGTTTACAGGAAAACAAGATGAAAGATGTTGTACATTATAAATGTATAAAGCTGTTAGTCTTCTTATACAGATAAAGATATCTAAATAGCTGTATTCCAAATATTTACCTCTTAGTGGAGGACGTGCTCGCTCAGCCAACATATATGAAAACAACTCCGCAAAACTGTATAGACTGGACTGGGTAAGCGGTGATAAGGGTGGGAGCACAGCTCGTTGCATATCTATAAAAGAAAAACAAACATATATTAAAATCATCATCATCAACAGCCTTTAACAGTCCACTGCTGGACATAAGCCTCTCCTTAGAAAGGAGATTTTAGGCTACTATACCACGCTGGCTAGACGGGTTGTTATAGGGTTTGTGTCGAGTTTTCCTTCTCTCTGCAGTTCTGTTGTTCTGCGTAGTTTTTTTTTTCCTTAGTCGGCTCTTACGACACCCACGGGTTGAATAGGGGTGGTGACACTCTGTATTCTTAATCCGTCACCACACGGACCGGATATTAAAATCGTCGTGTCTCAAATCACACTGAAGGAGAAATCTTTAGCTTAAATTCATGTCACTTCATCCACATGTTAATAAGAGCTGTTTTGAAACGAGAATCTTATCTAGATCTAGACCATGTATATATGTAACGGGAGCGTAAAACACAATGCATTTCGTAACTATTGTCCGTCGATATCTGAACAATTTATATTCATTGTAATTTTCAATGCTTCAAAGCGATAGTTTTTAGTATTAGACAGCATTTTAGAGTAAGAGAAAAATCATATATTAGAAAGTATATACATCGTTGTCTGCCTACCTTTATATCTTAAAAATTGGTAAATTTCAATGAAATAGATAAGAAACGCTCTAAATTACTTCCAAATATTTACGCACAACTAAGAATCATCAAGTTATGTATTTCATCATGATAACACGCATTCATCAACGGCCTTTACTAGTCCACTGTTGGGCATTAGCCTCTCCTTAGAAAAGATGTTTTGGCCTACTATTGGCCATACATTACTAGTGAGATACTACAAAAATAGAATCATTTCTTAAAAAAATCGCTATAATATTATTGCTATAAATCATTTTAAGTATAATATTTCTTACAGATGAGAACGGTACCATCAATTTTGATATAAAAGTTCTTGTAATTCTGTAAAGCCATTTTTTTTTTACAAAAGTATTTAAAAGTGTAAGTGTATACGGGTTTTTTGTATCTTACATTTATCACACAATAGTGTTCAAAAGGTTTAAAAGAAAGTATTTAGAAGTAACTGTAAGTAGTGTACACGTTAGGAGTGTTGGAGTAAGGCGGGATAGTTACCGAGCGCGTGGTGCCACAGTTGTCGGCAGCGCACAAAACGGCCCGCGTCCGCGTACACTGCGCCGCGATACCGCACGTAGTACGATGTGTCGGGATGCGCCGGACCTGTAACATATATCAACAAATTATTATTAAATGAAAATTTTATATATCGTCTCTACCTACCCCAGACCTATGTACCTAGGGCCTATGTTTGTATGGATTTACCATCCATAGTATGGAAATATCGAGCAGGCTCGAATGTTCGTTTTTACAACTTAGTACCGAAAATGGTAATTCCACTAATAAAAAGCGGGCTATTCTAAAAACATACGTTTAGGCCTTAATAAATAATTATGCCTTAATCATTAACTATAATATCTTAAACTACAGCCCATTTTCAATTTAACTGTTTTCATATCTTCAAATCAACATTAAATGAAAATGATTTGACATTAGCTAGTTATGACGACACGCCATAGTATTTCGTACAAAATTTGACAGTCATCTACACTATTGTTTTATTATGTCTCACCTAGAATCCTTTCTCTAATGACTAAGGCTTGCATTCTCATAGCATCGGGGTCAGCGAGTATTTCTTCCAATAATTGTGCATTGCTAGGTTCTACTGCGTAGTCATACGCCTCTATCCTTGGTATGTCTTTAGGCTTGGGGATTGGCTCGCTTCCATCCGCCGGAAATCTGTCATCAACAATAACATTTAATCCTAAACTCTTATTTATTATAGTATGTTTAGTTTTTTTAACATGGCTTTTACTTTTTAAGTTAAATTAACAGGCATAATAATTAAAAGAAGAAATATCATTAATTCTATGATTAACATTTCCTTTACTATCTTAAGAAGTTCATGTTATGGATCCAATAGTCCATGCCAGACTGAAAAACTTAATCGATAATGACATCGAATCTGATCAGATCGATTATGTTATGTACATATAAGGTGCCACTTTATGTGTGTGTATGTGGTTACTAATTTAAATCATTCTGGATTTCAAAAATGTGTGTGTTTGTGTGTGTGCAGAAAATGAAACAGTTCTAAACTACCTCCCTGCATTGCCCTATAAACGATGATATTATTCAATTTGCTAACTTATACAGACATGCTTACACGTTCGAATATCGATCAATCTTTAACAATTATTATAGTTTCACTGATTCAATTGTCGATCAAGATTTAGTAACATAACTTCCACTTAATTTTTTTTTGTCAGTGCTCAATATCATTTACGGAGGTGAAGGACCCTAAATTTGACTCTACACCTTTTTGTATGTTGTGTTGTGTACTGTGTTTATCGCCTCACCTATCGTCCATGGCTCGTTTCCATAACGCGAGCGCTCCAACCATGTCCCTTCGCTTATCGACGTACGTGGCACCTAACAGCTCTAGCGCGTCAATACGCTGTTGCCGCGTCACTAGTCCGTATTCTACATTGATTAGGTGTTCTACTATATGTGTGTGGCCCGTCACTGATGCCGCTAGCAGTGGTGTCATACCTGCAATAAAATATAAGAGAAAAGACGAAAGCGTTAGAACATGTCGAGCACTCAATTATAGTAGTATTGTATTGTAGCTGGTGGAAAAGGTTTCCAGAGAATATGATATAATATACCTCACAACCTCTACAGTCGCGTCTAAGTTTCGAGTGAGAGGTGGGGGTAGGGGAAGGGGGGTTTCAATCAAAGAGAGGCCCGTACTTGTGTCTCTTAACTTGCAAGTGTCCACAGGTGGCAGTAGTCACTTACTATCAGGTGACTCTTGTCTGCTCGTTTACTCTCTATCATAAGACACAACAGGTTTACAAGTACCATAATAATATACCCCATCTCAGCTCGCTCATTTTACCCGTCGTCCATACTCAATTTACCTGCTTCCTTTGTCCCGTTCTCTACCGATTCCATTCCCAAGTGTTTGCGTCCTGCGAGCTGGCGGCCATAAAAACACATTACGCAGACTCAAAACAGGGCAGGTCCATGATGATGCTGATGATGTTAATTTTGATGTTGACGATAATAATTTTAATGATGATGAGATAATGATGTACGTCCATCAATCGCTGGCTATATTACTGTAATAACTCTCACCATATGAATCAACGTCCATCGTTGCTCCATGTCCTAGCAGCATCTTTAATATGTGTAGGGAACCGCTTTCTGCACAGTCGTGTAGCGCTGTGTTGCCTTTAACGCTCTTCCTGTTCACGTCAGCGTTCAATGAAAGTAAGTACTTGGCGATTCTGATGTGGCCTTTGTAACAAGCTATCATTAAGCAGGTGTGTCCGTGACGGTTGGCTATCTCTATGTCTGAAATTGGGAGAAAATTGCTTTTATAACTGATAGTTAAGATGTGGAAAATGTGGGTAGATAATTATATATTTGCCCATATAATGTTGTACCAGGTATTAAAGTTAGATAGCCAAATAAAATATTTATTTGGCTAACTGCACTAGTTTACCTTACTGATTTTAGAATTATATATTTTAAGAGGTAGTGACAAAATTACTATTTATTATTTTTTGTTTGCTTCAAATCACCCAGGTAAGGATGCAGTACTTTAGTTAATTTGCTGCAGCAGTCATACTCATTACTGACAAGTCAATGTACGAGTAGAATGATTTAATTTTATACGACCTATTTAATTGCTAACATATCTAGTTCATTGGTTGTGTTCTTATAGTTTTGATTCGTCTTGCAGGGGGGGTTGTTATTATACTGATTAGTGTCTGGTAATTTCATCAGCATGGTTGGTCCTTACTGTTAGTGCCATATAATTTAGAGTGTATTCCATTGTTCATTAAGCCTTACGATTGAATTTCAATTGTTAAAATAAGTTGTATAAGTAATAATTTCAAACATTTTTGAATGTTTACATACACTTTTATATCAGATTATTAATAAAAAATACTACTCAATATAATATGGAATAAAAACAAGTATGAATAAAACGAAGGGTTCGTTTGCCGTTTGTGCCTCTGAAACCCTGTACCTATCGTAAACCCTTGGTTGCACTACTTATTGCGAACTAAAAATTGACTCACCAGCGCCGTTTTCAACTAGGAATTTAACAATATCGTGGTGTCCGTCGAAGCAGGCGGCCCTCAAGGGCGTGCTGTGCGTCCTCGTGGTAGAGTTGACATTTGCACCGGCCCGCACCAGCAGCTTCACCAGAGGCAGGTGACCGGCAGCCGCGGCGCACCATAGTGGTGGCGCACCTTCTATTGTCTCGCCATCAAATGTCACTGGAAAAACATATTATAATTACATTTTCAAAAGGAATTATTATATATTTAACTAAAAACTGTTAGCCATAGGGTTAAAAATCTACTCTTAATGCAAATTTGCAATTGATAAAATCTCATAAAGATACCCCGAGAATCACATAATGGTCGAGACTTGTATAGGAGACAAATTACAGCTATATACATACTACTAGCTATATATTATTGCATATTTTTAATTAAAATTATAAACACTATCGTTAGGATATAAAAACAATCGTATCCTACACGCAGAAAATATTTTGTAAAATAATTTGAAATATATAAACTTCTAAACCTTATATAACGACCAATGTCAGTGTGTGTAATAGTTGTAATTTTTTTTATAATAAATTCTATGAAGTCAGCTGAGGCAACACTGACATAGTAAGTCATATTATACACAATGTAAAACCATTGTGACATACATTTATTACTTATAATCGGTTAAAAAAAGTTAGGTTAGCTCAGTTAAATTAATTAATCAGTGGAAGGAATTAAAATATTGTTTACAATTTTCAAAAAGTTTAGTGCACAAAAAACAAACACAAACTCGGTTGCCCATTTGCGATGGAGGAAAAAAAGGATTGTACTGGCTCCATGGTTTATCGACCAAATGCGACAAATTGTGTCCTAAAAAACTACAAAAATGCTCCTATCTAACATGTCTATTTGAGTAGAAAGACTAGACAAAAGACCTTTAACTTAAAAGTAAATCCATCTTCATTTTCTGGGCATCTACCTACTTTACATTACTTATCATAAGACCTCGAAAACTTTATCTATTATCAATGAAGTCCTCTCAAATAGTTATTTACAAAACCTCTTCAAATTTGGCTTCTAAATAATATAATTGATATGGTCTCTAACGGTGTCATTTCTGAACTTTTACTAAAGTGACATGGCTTCACGCCAAAAGATTGACGCAAATGAAAAACTGTTACGACCATCCAACAACAGATTGGAAAATGTAAATAGGAAACAATTAGTGGAAGAACTAGCATTATTAACGAGGTTTCGATTGACTGACACGATATATCGACTGGGGAACGACGGCGTAATATCGTCAACAGTCACTTGCTGCCAACTCCGACATTTGAAAATACGATTAAAAAACTAACATGTACCAGACCTTTCAGCACATCTACCAGTACTAATGAATGAATTCATATAGTTAATAAGTATTTTTTCTATTTTGCTATACAAATTGAATCCTAGCGTTGGATAAGTTGAGAGTAATCTATAAATAGAACATACAAACACAATTAGCGAAGATAACGCGTAACATATACCACCCAAATAAGTAAATGATTAGGAATTTGCGACTATGCTGAAGTCAGGATATTTGAAAAAATATCATCTCTTATCTTGAGATCAACTCAAACCTAAAATAACGCATTCCTAAGTTTTTGCTTACAACAAATTTTAAAAGTGTAATTATAACTGTTGCAAAAAAAGATCTACTAAAAATAACATTATCCATTTGTGAGTTTTAGTCACTGCAAATGAAAAATAGTAAACATCAATCATCAACAACAAGTCATCAATGAATCACATAGATTCATTGATGACTTGTCATATATTTTAATGGTCTATCAAAATGACCTTACTATTCATCCTTTTTTCGAATAAACGTTATTTAAACGGTACTTTTAAAAAACCGGCCAAATGCGTTTCTATTCCTGCTCAGACCAAATATCTGTATGCATTAACATGTCTTGTTGGTTGCGTGTTTCTATATATTATGTATAATTGTATTTTTGTTCTCGTGTAGAAGCAAAGTACAAGCTATACTTAGTAGAGATCTAGATAGTGTGTAGAATATCTCCAAAAATATATAGTCATTATTACCTGAACCAGGCTGTTCAATATCAGCTTTACATCTCTCAATGAGGTACTCGGCAACATCGTAGTGTCCGTTTCTGCATGCGATCACCAGCGGAGTCGCGCCGCCAACCTTCGCACCCACCAACATGTTCAGCTCGTCAGCAGAGCGCCAACTGTGTAGGTAAGCCTAAAATGGAAGAACATTTCATTGTTAAAAACGACTCATTGTTCCAAAATTTACGTAATATAAAATGTAAATTGTTTAAAATAATATATGTGTATATAGTAATTTCCTAATAGTAAATATATTTAAGTACATGCAGGCAGTTTCAATACACAAATATATTTTGCAATTCTTGAATAGAAATTATCGGAGTGACAAATGACATAAACCTACATCCAATGTCACAATACAAGTTGTAAATGAATACAAAATACGCTTTTCGACGTGAAGTTACGGAAAACAGTCTTTGTTAATCTAAGATCTAGAATAGCCGTTAGGTAAACAACATGTAGTTTTGGAAATAAATATATTATGTGAAAAACACGCAAACAATAAGGATATTATCAAGGTCAACAAAGGCTGCTAGACCTTCTTTATAACATTTACATAGTGGTAATTAGCTTTTGTACGTATTAGTGGTAGAATATAAATACGAATGTACTTTAAGGAAGAAATATATGAAGGTTTTATAAAGTTTAAAATTTTAGTTTAGTTTACTAAATAATGTTGTTGGTATAACTCTTTTGCTTTAAGGACAACAATATATAATAATTATTATTTTCATACGATTTGTTCGGTATGACAGCCGGCATTGGTCATTTGAAGGCACAGTTGAGCTTAATTATCTTTTTGGTTTGACAAACAATATTACAGCTCGACAGTAATATTTTGATACTTTAATCAGTCATTATTAGAGTATAAAATTAATGTTAAAAGGTGATTTATTCTTAGAATTAGTATATATATTAATTCTTTATCAGGTACTTTATTACTTCACTTCTATAAAACAACTCGTCAGTTGCCGTGTTCAGTCAATGTTAGATACATTTTGGCGAGGCGACTCTCAGACAAAAGTACTAATTCAGAGCAGTTACAATTATTTGCATACGAGTTTGACAGGCAACTGAATCGCAACCATATCTCTGAAGAGAAAGGGAACATAAAGATCAAAATTATAACAAAGTTATTCTTTTCCAAGTAAATTTTATTTCGACACGATTAAACATTAAATGAAAAAAAAAATGACCACAACAGACTTTTCAAACACGATCCTTTACACGAAAACCAATAAAATTAATTGACATTTGTGTGTGACCCAGTTCCTTACATAGCAGGTTTACACATAAAATTATATTTATAAATAATAAAGAAAGGGAGAGCATACATAATTAAGCAAGTTATACATAATTAGGGTCATTAGTGAGGTAATGCAGGGGGCAAACGAACAAAGGGATCACCTGATGGAGTGACTACCGCCGGCCATAAACGCTTGCAACTCAGGAGTCAAAAGCGCCGGCCTTTAAGGAATGAGAACGCTCTATTCTTGAAGGTTTGACAAATGTATTTTTCGCAATGCAAGACAAGAAAGGTGAAGTAAAGGCTAACGATTCATCTGACAGCCTCTCCAAGTGGTCATAATTCGCAAAAGTGAAATCTACAGATGTGCTTACCAACAACGAAGTTTGGCAACCGAATGGTTGTGACGCAACGTTCATCGGCTGCTTGCAAAATGTAGGTAAGTAAACCTGTGTATCTGATTTTTACACTCATTATTTGATAGATGGATTATTTACAAAATTTAGATAACTTTAGATGTGGTAAATTGTGAATGTAACACGGTCAATCCAGATAGATTTAAGGATATTCCTAAAACTCTATTAATGATAATAAAAATAGAGTACATATTTTTAAGTTAATCAGAACATATAATAGATCAATCTCGAATCCTTAAACAAGAGCTAATAAATAAACAAGTTTTAAGAACTCTAGTGGTTTTATTCTTTCACTAAATAATATAATAATAATATTGCAACACATTTACACAACGCCATTTAGTCCCAAGCTAAGCCGAGCTTGTTCTCTTGATACTAGACAACTGATTTACCTAAATACGTATATACTTTTTTTGTAAATACATACATATTATACATAGAAACACCCAGACCAAAAGTTCATGCACACAAATGTTTGACTTGAGCGGGAATCGAACCAGCGACCTTTAGCATAGCAGTCCGTTACACAAACCACTACGCCATCTGGTAGTCAAAGCCGTCAATAAAAAAGAAATGCGATAACGATATTAATTAAGTAATTTCGTTGACGTTGACGTTCCTTGAGCGGGAGTTTAAATAATACACAGACACAACAAATGCAAACTGACAAACGTATATTTTGCCACAAGAGGGCACCGTGACGATTTACAATAATATAATATATTACTGCTCCCAAAGAATCGCACCAAACAATTAGACATTTACATCTTATATAAATCTGTTATGAACGAAACCATAGCGCGATCTAAATTTGATGGTTACGCCAGCTATATCATACATTTTTAAACCCCAACAATCCTTTTAATATGGAAGTACTATTGCTTATGTCACATGTTAATAGAATACACACAAACAATAAGTTTACATAATGTATTGTATGTAATGTATTGTAAATTCTTTTGCTGTTCTACTGTTGCTGTCGTGTGACTTAAATGGCACTTAATAAAATAAAATACTTCGCTTGGATACTCTCAGGTCATAACGATGTTCTAATACTGGAACATTGTTATACGAGCATGACTATAGTTTAACATGAATATTGGAACTGTGGGTGTCGTAAGACCTGACTAAGGTAGTTAAGGAAGCAGGACAACAACACTGTAAAAGAGAAGGAAATCTTGATACAAATCCTATAGTAACCCGTCTAGCCAACGTGGTATAGAAAACCAAAAACTCCTTTTTAAGGAGAGGCCTGAGACCAACAGTAGACTATTAAAAGTAATGATGACGAATATGAGAACCATGTGAATCAAATTAAATTGCATATGTGCGAAATGACACTTAAAAGTCATATTTTATATATGAAAAGATTGTTAAACAGGATTCCTTTCAAACGATTACTAAGCCGAAATTGAACGTTCGCAGGTTACCTATAGATTTAATCTAATCAATTGTCGTAGCTATCCATTAGCAGTACAACTTTTATTCTTACTGTAGTTAAACGACATATTGCAACTTGATTAAAATAATTTAAAAAAAACACTTACGAGTATGTAGAACAGCCAAATATTTTAAATTGGTTTATAATAAACACTATACAATAAATTCTGTAGATGTTAATGTGAACTGTGGCCAAACAATACTGTCTCATCTGATCAGCAAAAGGAGTTAAATAAATTAACTAAAGACAATGAAGAAATATAAACAATGTACAGACGTATTACACAATCTCGTATTGTACTCGTCGCCGTGACTTGTGCCCCGATCGACATTGACTAAAACATCGTTTTTAATGTGGCAATCATACCCTTTTGGGGTAAATTATTTAAATTATAATAACTAAAAAAATATATCATGCAAGACTAATAAGCTTTAACAAAGCCCATTGCCCATTGTTACCAAAGCAAAGGTTACTAACAGATTACAAATTAAGTCAATGTTATATATTAAGAATTAAACTAGTGATGATATGTAGTATAAATATAATTGCATAAAATAAGTATGTACTGTATGGTATATTATTTGAAATGTTATTTTTTTATTATTTATTATTGTAATCAAAATAATAAAGACTGAAGACATGTTTAATGCTTTGTTGATTATGGGGTAACAGACACACACATTCCAAAAAGTATTTGCGGCTTCGTCGGTAAATGATGGCGTCAAGATATGTATTTTTTGAGGCCTGGACGCCTGTCTTAATAGCCTTCGTTTTTCTTTTTTGAACACACATTCACACTAACTAGAAATTAAAAAATAGTTTTTTTTGGAATGATTAATAGACTTTCATTGAAACTTCTATTAGCACTATAAAATGTGCTACAATTTTTGAAGTGAAATCTTCTTTAGGCGCGTTGGGCATTTTTGAACAACAAACAAAAGAATGTTTTTTGAGATGGGAAAAAACCATTGAACTCGCGACACTGTTACTGTTACCGACACCTCTGTATATAAGTATCTACATATTTTTTGGGCCCGTTTACACGACAGTTGAGTTTGGGTTTAAATACATTGATTATATAACTATGTATATATAATATCAACATAATATATTGTGTATATACGTACATCATAGATATATATATTCATGTTGGAACTTTTCGAATCGGAAAAAACAAAATGTTTGCCTGTTATATATTTTTTTTAAATTTTCAAGTTTGCACTTACGTCGGCACCCTCGGAGTGCCACTGTTTTTTTTTTAATTTCATACTTCTTATATAACCAAAACGGGTTTTAGCCTCAGCTGTATAGGTATGATACACAAGTTTAAGTTGTGCCAATACTTGCATTCTTATAAACTAAAGGGCACTTTAGATTTTATTATCAAAAGCGTACCTCTATCTAGGGACAAATACACCTTAATATCACAGCAAAACTGTTGCAAATTGGCAGAAATTTAAGAAGGTAAGCAAACTCATATTTCACTTCAATAACCTGATGCATGAAAAAATTTGAGAGATTTTAATATGGGTAGTATTTAACTGTAAATAAAAACAAAATCCTTTTTTATAAAAAAATCGCAATCTTAATCAAAAATACTGATTGCTCAGCAAAAGAGTTACCTTAGCATTAATTTGAGTTCAAGTTCTATTATTTGAAACGTGGAACTTTTTATACTTTTTCTGTGCGGAAGTCCCCTCAGATACCGCCCACCGGTAGCTAAGTCGTACTCGAACCGACTAAAAACCGCACACCGTCTCGGGTACCAGTAGCCGACGAACCAGGTGAACCCTAGAAAGGAAATCCCTGGTACCCCGACGTACCTCGGGCCATTTACAGAGGGTAGATGTCCCCCTCCTGTGTTTTATAACCTAACCTATTTTCCTGGACGCAGCTCGTTTCTGACGGGGTTGCCTTAAACCTTAAAAAATAGGTATTGGCATACAATATCACGCTGGCCAGACGGGTTGCAAAAAATAGTTATTTTGGTGTATGTGTGAGTGTTACGTTTGTACGCTTTTGGTAATGTGATGGGAAATCAGTATATTTGATATGAAAAGACTATATTTTCGTACATTAAGCAACTCTTTTGTTAGTGCCTTTGAGGAAAAAGTACAATACTTTGTTGATGTATTTTTTCTAATTATTTCTTGTACTAGTTTTTTTAAACAATTGGTTTCCAAAATTAATTAATTGATATGCATTTAAAAAAATCCCTTTTGAATTTGTTTGTCAATTTTATTAAACATAAACTGTTAACTGCAAGGTTGTATGATCCGTTAACTCTCAATTTGTGTTGGCATTATTTACATTAGAAAGGATAAATTATATTATCTTTGGTGTTGTATCTTTGGTTATAAATGCAAGTAAAATATTATTTATTTTGCTGTGATTCAATTGGAGATCTAGAATGTTTAGCATCATAATGAACACAAAAATTAAATTTATGATAATGGAAATTATACATACATTGTTTTCATCACAAAACAACAATACATTGCAAATTTTAATAATTTTGTTTTTTATTTCATATTTTTCTACTACTTACTACCTAGCCATTCTTTTTCAAGCGTCAAGGTATGAGAATGTAAAGTATTGTATAATTTAGAAATCATATATTTATTCAACATTCGAAATTTGTAACGTTTACTCGTAACTCTTTAGCACTGCGATAGGATTTTAAATAATATCACTTAAACTATTCGCTACCATACCTTCTTCAGTCTCCTGAGCAGTCGTCGCTGTCTCCTTAGCAGCGATTTTCCGCAGTGCCGTAACGTCTCAATCCATCGGCATCTGACCGGCATTAAATCCCAAACACCGACAGACATTTTATTTTAAAACATCACAAATAATATTTGCTTTTGTCACTAACACTTGTGTTCACTGCACTTGACTTTTTAATATTTAAATAGGTTCTAGATTATTATTACTAATATTCTAGAAAAGTCGATAAAAGGATTTAGCTCTTTAACACACCTAAAATTAATTAATTCAAGTCTATAAGCGACTGCGTCTCAACATGTCGTTGATAAAATGATATGCTCGAGTGCCTGCAGATAAATATACCTAAGCGTTCTATAAATTGCACGAAGGCGTGAATTTTCTGAGTAAATAATTTGATTATGTTGGGTTTCTCCACCGTACGACGTAATAGTAAGTAAAACTTGAAAAGATTGATTGAAATGAGGAAAGGATTTATTTCAGACACTGTGCTATTTATATGTCCTGAGCAATATACGAGACTGTGGACATAACACAAAAGCTACTTTAATATAGCGTAAGTGTTTCGAGATAAAAAATGTAAACTGAATGTCAAAACTGTTTCATTGCCACAAGTTATATTTTCCTTTCCTTATTCCTAGAACAATATACAACATAATGCCTATGGCTGTCCCACATAACTATTAACATTCTGTTTAATCGAAGATTAACATACATAGGTGCGTACTTGTCATGTCATTGGAGCCCCTCACAGTTCTAACCTAACCTAATACAAAGAATTAAATAACAGTAGGTGGTACCCGACGCAGGTGTTTATAAGGAAAAGAAGAAAACATATTTTTTTTATTAATACACGATACACAAAACTAATATTAATAACAAAGTAGACGTTTATTACATTAAACGTTACTCATATATTTTGAATATATATGCGTAACCGAATATTATACTAATTGAATCAGAATCTTAATTTTAGCAGTTTATTCAAAGTATTGAAAGTCGGAATGTCGTTTTTCGGATCGAGAACCCATCGAGCATTTGATTCTTCGAACGTATAAAAATCGGAAAACAACCATTGCATTTACTTTTGTCAAAATAAATTTCGTGAATTTTAATCATTCACATCACACATCACATCAACAGCCTTTAATAGTCCACTGCTGGACATAGGCCTCTCCTTAGAAAGAAGGATTTGGATTTGATTTTTTTTAATAATTATATACGTTATAATTCTTAGGTATTATGAAATTGAGACTTTATTAAAATAGGAACATCGAAATTCAGAATAAAATATTTGGCACTTGGCCTCATAACGATAAAATACCGAAATTTGTATGATGGCAGTAGTACTGGGATTCACTAATCGTTTATAACGATATCCATGGTATGTTATTATTCATTATTATATAATGAACATTGATGAAATTCAGGTCAGGATTGTCCTGAAGGTGTTCGTGTATCACTCCAATTGTTATGTTAAAGATATGATTTCTAAATAAACGTTGCGATTATCTCACGTTTCTTTGATCTGGATCCTATCTCACGCTCACACTTGGTGATGATGTTACGTAAAAAAAATTATTTTTTTCCGGTTGTCACTTTGTTATCACCTGATTATTGATTGATATCCTGCACTTTTTGAATCACAAGTGTGAGTCTTGTTATTTGCCATAATCCTACGCATAGGTTAGAATATCTCAAAAACCTGACGTAATAGAGCAATTCCGCAGCCGAATTCGGATTCAGCGCACCGAAATCCTTTGGGAAGTATACTCTGGTTTCAGGAAAAGAAACTTTGTCAAATTTTGTTGGCCTGTGTAATCTGAATGATCTTGACATATAAAAGTTAATACAAATACCTACACTTATTGTCGCATATCTTAAGCAAACACAATATGTAGTTAGTTTTAAGGACGTATACGTCTAAGGACAGAATATTTAACGACGTGTTTACTCGTAGACTCGTATGTTTTATTTATAACACATAAAATCATACTCTATACAAAAAAGATATCTATGTATCTGAACTTTTATTGTACATATTACATTAATTTATAAGTGAATGTATTTATAAACAACTATACTACAAAATATCAAATTACAACTCTGGGGACACCAGTGGCATTACTATGAATTCATGACGCCATTGCCAGGGTCATAAATTCTATTTACCTATTAACGCGTTCTGTCAGTATATATTTTTATTTTACAATGGAATTACTTCTTACTACATAGGTATCATATGGAAGATTAACTTAGGACTGTTGATTTACTTTCCTTAGGGTGCTTCTACACGATGCAAGTAGCTTGCGTATGTTGAGGCAATTGCAAGGTTATATGCTTCGCAAAAAGGATTAAGCGGGCCCAGCGACTAGAGCATGTACCAGCGCGAGCCACTCGGCTCGCTAAATTTATTAACTCTAGTGCAATAACATTTTTAAGAAATGATTACGTAAGAATTCACGTTCGTCGAGGCATTTTAACGCGATTACTTGCTCCAGCTACTACGAGTACACCGTGTACAAGAATTCTTGTACTGAACTGTTTCAAAACCGAAACTAGCAACTACAAGTTAAGAGCAAATAACTTGTACATACTACTAACGTAAATAACCCGCGTCTTTACCTACTCCAACTACTTTCACCGTGTAGAAGCACCCTTAAAATGTTACTTCTAGCACTCGGTGCCAAAGGATAGTTTGGACCGGTTCGACCGCAAAACAAAGTACATTTCATTATGTTATTATTATTGCCCACGTACAGAATAAATATCTATGTGTATACGGAGTCACTACCCTCTAATATGCTGATAACTGTGTCACATCCATGTTATCGTAAGCTACTGCGAAATATTAGTATGGGCGTTATGTGCACAATTTGATTTAACAAATATTAAAAGGTACAAATTAAATAAATATCATTTTAAAAAATATCTCTCAATTAGAAACCGTATTGCACAATAACTGTACATAATATCGATATTGCCTAAGTATAATGAGTCAACTGGCATTAGGTATAGTTATGTTGCAGGAGAGCGATTTGAAGGCAAATCGTGTATATTCTAATGAAATCAAACTTATTCCAAATAAATTAAATGTTGTTTTAATAAGCATTGGAAGCTCTTCCTTTGGTATAAAATGCTTTAGCTGATTTTTGTTTTTAAATAACATTTTATGTACATGACTGGTTGTACGCCGCCGCGCCGGCGGGACTCGAGTAAAACAGTTTAACTACCAGTTTTATACATGTACGTTGTACATCAAAATCCATGGTTTACACCAAAGTAATATGATTGTCATTTTAATAATATCATCTTACTTTTGGTTGTTTTCGGGATTTTCTGTCTCACTTAATTATAAAATATTGGCGCCTCCGTTTTTAAATACCTAAATTTGTAAGATAACTCAGTAGACTTAGGAAGTATCGATATAATAGAGCGGCACTACGTACACACACGAATAAAAAATTTAGCTGCATAATAAACGTGTATTTTATTAGTCACAGTATCTACACCTCTGATCAATAATCTAAGATCAAGGCAATTTGAAAGAACAACGCATCAAAATAACGTATTATGTGTCCCCAAGCAAACCATGATACACGTACCTGATCGATACGACGGGTATGTAAAAGCCCCATGTTGTAGACGCGACTACCAAGAATACACTGACTGGTTAAATGTAATCACATAAATTTTATAATATTTTAAATTCACAATTAGGTTCTGCGCACATATGAATTATAAAAAAAGTTTCAAACACGATTCATTATTGTCAATAAAAAATTTCAACGGCCCTTAAAAATAATATGCAAGGGCTAGCAGATGGTAAATTTAAAACATAACTGTATTATATACTTAAGTTTATCAAGTATAGACAACGCCCATCATAAGGCTACTCATGCAAATGCTTTTACGGGAGATGAAAAGAATGCCTTGTTATCTTTGCCAATCAATAGCGTGATTGAATAATCAAAACAAAATATATCGAGAAATATTCCTCACATGACTATATTCATGATTCAGTTGAAGATGATCAAAGCAATGAATGTCACGTTCCGATTACAAACATTCACACGTGTCTTGTACACACATTGTGCTGTATACAGAGGAAAATGCTGCCTTATTATGTTTGCAGGTACGGACTTGTGAATTGTATGATATTTGTTTTCCTAGGTAAGCTATAAAAACAGTTACAGATGTCGTATTATTCTTATGTGCACAGTCTATAGTACATTTTTAACTTTTCATAAAGTAACGACTCCAATGCGCCTACGGCATAGCGAATTGTAATACTGTATTCCTTATTCCTCAGTTTTCTACCCTTAATGTTGCTGTCTTTTTTTCAAGTTTCACTGGAATAAAACGTTCAAGTATACCTTCCTAATCCAACCTTTTTTATATGAAAGAGGGGTCAAGCGAGCAGACGGGTCATTTAATGGTAAGTAACTAGCGACGCCCATGAACGCCTGCAACTCAGGAATCACAAGCGCGTTACCGGACTTTGAGGAACGAGTACGCATTTTTCTTGAAGGTCGTATCTTCTTCTATCTTGTGTATCTTCTATAAACTTGAAATACGAGACAATAAAAAAAGAGAAGTAAAAAGAATTTGCTAAATCTATTTATAAATTAAGTTCTGAGACAACACACATAAAAACTACAACCTAGTTGAGAACTTCTTGCTTTTTTTGATGATGCAATAGTGATTATGAAGATAAAAATAGAACAGTACAAGTGTTGTTTGAGGATCGAGTGTTATATCTCTCCTACAAAAAGGATCGCCCCTGAGACTAGATGATCATGCAAACTTGTTTGAATCCAGTTAATTTTATTAATGTTCTGCAGTATATCGACATCAACACTTGATTATTGTCCCACTAAATAGGTTATATACCTAATATCCGTGTGGTCTCTCACCACGTTAAAAGTACTCAGTGCCTTCTGTGAATAGAGTCTGTTCATCAAGTGGGTGTCGACTAATGGAACAAATTACGCAGAACAACAGCACTGCAAAGAGAATGAAAGCTTGACAAACACTATACCAACTCCTCTGTCCAGCGTGGTGTAGAAGGCCAAAAGCTAAGCAGAGGCAAATATCCAGCAGTGGA